AGATCGGTATAATTCACTCATTCTAGGAAAACACAGGAATTTGTTGTAAGTTATCTCAGTTTGTTGGAAGATTACTGTATTGTAGAGTTTTACAATAACAACAAGAATGCTGGACGTGGCCAGTGGCTTGCATCCTGTTGCCTGTTTCCACAAAAGGAAAATATCACACCCAGGAAATTTCGGGGGCCATTGTCGCGTTATATCAATGATTATCAACTCTTACTATTCGATTGCAGTAGTGCAAGCGTTGGCGGCGGGTGCTTTTGACAAACTGCTTTCCATCTAGTTTATCTGTTCCAAATCAGTGATGGCTAACGTAGTTAGCTCTTGTGTTGCTTTGCGCGAATATCGTGAAACAAATATACAACTATAAGGTATCACCCCGTTGTTCTGATTTATTTTAAAATCTTAATCTTTGAAATAGGAAAAACTAAGTCAATGAAATGACACTGTCCTTCTGTGAACTCGATCAATAGACTATGATGAAGCGCGCTTCCTGGCTGCTGTTTCGAACGGAAGATGTTGAAGCGGCGAAAGCTTTAAGGTACAGTTGGTGAACTTTATAAATAATAATTTCTTACTTTCCATTCCTATTTTCTTTATTTCATTTGAGTTACCACGGAGCGCATTGAAAGTCTCCGAGTTCTGGTTACATTCTGATGGAATTCAAATCAGCATTAGAGATCATGATCTTGCCAGAAATTTTATCCCTTTCAATTTTGAAAGACGGTTAAGAACAGCTTGTTCAGATTTTTACATATCATAAATTTGGCCAGTTAATACAAAAGTCTTAAACATCGTAACAGTGAATACCTAAGACAGAATGAACAGCAGTAGAAATGCTATCAGTCGTACTTTCGGTTGGGTGGCGCGTGTATTTCTGTACATATTATAAGTCTGGATTAACGGTAGAAATTTTCATGTATTGTAAACCTGAACAGCTAGTGCATATTATTTTGGCATTATGAGATGAGCTTCACATATTGTAAATTTTGACGGGAAAGACAGAGGTTGACCTAGGAGGATTGAGAGAGGGGTAAAATCCAAACACTTTTCCCAATGTCAGTCGTGGGAGGAGGGGTAATAATACATGCCAAATTTGGTTACAATGAGTCCACACACTAATGGCTTAGCCCTGGTTCTTTCACTCAATTCTGATGTTCTTAGTGGCTGATGATGAAGAAGTGGAACCTGCTTTTTTACTCAATCTTACTGTTCCTAGTGGCTGATGGTGAAGAAATGGACCAGTAATATAATACTTTGGTACAACTTGTTTAAGAAGAAAAATTAGACCGTCTTCTAATAAAAGTAACATATGATGAAAGATATCACCTTTTGATTCTGTACTAACTTCATAATCTGATGTGGCGAAAGAAAAAACTCTAAAGAAGAAATTACATTGTCCGTTCAAACTTGTTATAAAAACAAAACAATGTACGATATATACAAATTTCGGATGTGCAAGAATGTAATATGTAATAGTCATTCAACCTTACGATATATATATTCTGATGTTCTTAGTGGCTGATGATGAATAAATGAAACCTGGTTTTTTCACAAAATCCTACTGTTCCTAGTGGCTGATGGTAAAGAAATGGAATTGAGTGAAAGAACCAGGTTCCATTTTTTCACCATCAGCCACTAGGAACAGTAGGATTGAGTAAAAAAAACCAGGTTCCACTTCTTCATCATCAGCCACTAAGAACATCAGAATTGAGTGAAAGAACCAGGTTCCATTTTTTCACCATCAGCCACTAGGAACAGAAGGATTTTGTGAAAAAACCAGGTTCCACTTATTCATCATCAGCCACTAGGAAGAGTAGAATTGAGTGAAAGAACCAGGTTCCATTTCTTCACCATCAGCCACTAGGAACAGTAGGATGGAGTGAAAAAAACCAGGTTCCACTTATTCATCATCAGCCACTAGGAACAGTAGAATTAAGTAAAAAAAACAGGTTCCACTTATTCATCATCAGCCACTAGGAACAGTAGAGTTGAGCGAAAGAACCAGAGATGCTTATAAATTAATCTTGATAATACATTACAATGTGTTTATTTGTTTGTTTGAAGTTAAGCACAAAGCTACACAATAGACTATCTGTGCTCTGCTCACCACAAGTATCGAAACCCGGTTTCTCGCGTTGTTAGTCCTTAAACACACCGCTGTGCCACTGTGGGGGGGGGGGTCATTACATTGTGTTTGAAATTCAGTGATGTTATTTTTTTAATGCTAAAAAAGTCATTTAAACACATTGGACTAGTAGTTGTGACTTCTCTGGTCAGTAGTAGAAAAATAATTCCCTGAAGCCCAAATTTTCATCTTCAATTTTCTCAAGATATAAGCTACATATCCATATTATCTGTATCAGAGTGCTTCTTTTTTTCTTTTTTTTTTTGTCTCTGAGGCAATACCTGTTTTTCTGGAATATCAAAAGTTATTCCTTTAATGCTATATTTATATTCATGTTTAACTTGAGTGTGACCTAATAAGCTGTGTGCTCGGACTGCGAATCTCGGGATTCATCATTCGCAACTCGTTTGGTTCTAAAACGCGCTTCGCACTTTGCGGTCGCAGATGCGCTATAACGTGACGATCAAATCCCGCTATTCGATTAGAGTAGCTCAAGAACTGGAGGGGAAGTTAATGGCTAACTATGCGCGTATAGCCCATGCGTAGGTTTGCGCTAAATTCTGAAACAAACAAATAAAATAGTGTTCGCTTTCTCTCTCTAGCTCTCTCTTTGTTCAGTAATTTCCTAAAGCCTAATAATTTTTAAGAGGCTTGTTTGCACCGATGATGAAAATGATAGTGAAAATATTACACTGAGGAAGTTTATTGGGAATTATTACTTTTCTTACCTATGTTCGATGATACAATTAAGTAAGCCGTCACCATGGTGATGACCTATAGGGTTTTTTTTTTTCAATAATAACAAATATATTGTTTGACTTGTAATACATAATGTTTCATCTACAGTCCATAATGCATAACAAATCTCCAACGTGAAAACAAAAGCATAATAAGTAATTAATCACTTCTGCTAAGGAAACGAACATTGAAGAATGAATCAGCTCCTGTCTTTTAAAGTCACTGCTCTGTTGTTTGCTTTTTAGAGTTGGAAACGTTCCTTGAATTTGCAAGAAATATTTCTAGCATGACTGAGATAACAATATCATCATTAACCTCGATATATTATAACGTTATCACTGATCTTAGTAATACAGATATACATTCACATAACCAGATATTCTTCTAATAATAATAAACTGGTCAAACCATTAACGTTTAACAATGCATCTGATTCACTTCACGTACGTATGCAGTCACGTATAACCAAAGACCCATACACAAAGGAGGAGCATTACAGTTATAAATATTATTAAGGCCGATGGTTAAATATATTTTTTTTTCTTTAATAAGTTTGAACGAACAAAACTTCTTATTACATCATAACATTTCAGTTTTCGTTTTTTATTCACGATTACAAATACTTTGTTTTCTTTTATGTTGTGGAGATCATTCCAAACAACGCTGATGGAGAAAAGAAAAAATCCACCCACGTAAAGGACAAGTATTGCATCGCATGGCATGTTATTCTAGCGTGGGCGAGCAACAGAACTAATAGAACATGTTGTTCTGATTTTTCTGAAGAATATATATATTCTCACTAGAGTAGATGAATCGCTCCGGTCTTCAACACCCCACATTTTATTGATGTTGAATTGTTATCATTGTTCTTTTCGACACATGCTGCAAGGAAACATTAAGCTATTCCAAACCTTCGAGCAAGAATTAATAGTGTTATTTATTACAGCATTTAAGACTCTAACGTATAGGGTAAATGTCAGGCTTCGTGAAATAGATAGATGAAGGAAACTACTTCTATTTGTATGTCCTATCGAAGGCTTTTTAAATGATGTTATAACGGCACTATCAATGAAAACTTCATTCGAAAAGTTTCTGTAATGAATATTGTTGTAAATTTGGAAAATAAATCGAATTTTTCTATCTCAGAAAACTTTTATCTCATAACTTGCTGTTCTCGGCGTTTTATAAGTAGCGACTACAAAGCACTGATATTGCACTGAATTAACAAACAATGGCTTCTAATCACAATGATGTTTAATGTAGAAAACAAACATGTTTATACAAACCAAAGTATTGTCGAAACACAAAGGTTTTTCACAATACACATAATTTATCCCTACAGATCGTTATTTGTTAATTTACTACTGTATTAGTATAAGGTGTTCCCGACACAGGTACTGATATTTGTTAGTCTTGACACATAACAACAGTTCTTAAGTAAATGTTTTTGATTTTACTCGATGTTTGACAACAGATTATAAAATGGTGGTATTTACTGATATTATTAACTGAAAACAATCACTTGTAAATATGTAGTTAATTCTCTCTTTACTTGCTGATGAAGTAGTGACAATTATTGTTCTCAGCACTTGACATCAGATCGCAAATAACCGGTATTTTCTTTTCTTGGTTGTTTGGGACAGTTCTCATACAACGACATTTACTGTTCTCGGCACTTGACACCAGTCCTTTAAAAAGTGGTAGCCTTAAGTGTTCTTGACACTTAGAAACAATTGTTAGAACTAGATTACTGCTCGAAGTTCTTGAAGATAAAATATTGAGGTTATAACATTCACTGTTCTTAATAACTGACAAAGCTCCTATTGAACTAATTTAGTGAACTCAATGATTTATGACAAATTTGTGTACCAGTGGCACATACACTACTTTATATATTCTAAATCACTTCTTTTAAAACTAATATTTTCCATTCTCGGTACTTGACAATAATGATATTTACTAGTCATAAGCGTTTTAACGTATTATTTATACTATTTACTGAATATGTCTTTCCGATTTTAAGCTTACACAATAGGAATATATGACAAAGAATTATTAATAGTAAAATCATTTTCTTTCTCTAACATCAAAACATTTTCAGAGGTTAATATTCTATGTTTTTCTCCTCCAGCTGACACCAGGATAGTCTGCATAGCTATGTTTTCCAGCAAAATTGATCAAATTAAAGCCAAACTTCTTCTCCTTGTGGGTAAATTGATCCGAACTAAAGATCCATCTTCAGACTTATTGGAGCCGGCATCAGACAACAAACTTAAGGTACAGTTCGTCTCCTCGTGCATATTCCCAAATATCCACAGAGACCTGCATATTCAAAGTATAGATATGTTGTCAAGCCATTTGACGCTAAAGTACATGCATAAGTAATATAAAATATTATTTGAAAACTCAATGATAAATGCAAAATCTCACGAACAGTTCAGTTATTAAATATTCTGGGTTGTACAGGGTACATTAAAGTTTATTTTAAAGTTAATAATAATTGTTACTATTATTTCAGTCCAACAAAAATTAGATGTCAGGTGAGAATCCATCATTTGGTCATCAGAATCCAACATTATAAGCCGCATTTAAGGCATAACTATTAATACCTTCCTCTTTCTTGGCTCCACTAACGAACATCATATGAAAACGAACACTCGGTAATGGCTCCAACAAAGTACATCTCATCAAGGCTAACACTCGGTATTCCATTAATCTTGGTTTCGACAGCAGATATAACCATATTTTCTGTTCTCTTGATTCTGACAGCATCCATAACACCAAAAATAACACTTTCTTGTGTTTTTTTTTGTGTTTCAACAGAAGCCATAACACCAAACATAACACTTTATTCTGTTCTTTTGGGTCCGACAGCGGACAACATACTAACAATAATACCTTGTCTTCTGTTTTCTTGGTTCAGGCAGCAGATATTTCACTAAGAGCAACACTGTCTTCTGCTTTGTTGGTTCTAACAATAACTAACACACTAAAATTAACACTCCTCATGTCATCCACTCTTCTGATTTCGTATCAGACACCACACCAAAGCGACATTCAATCTTTCGTTCAGTAGGCTTAAGTAGCACACGCCATATTCAAAGAAAAACTTTATATCCAGCTCTCTTGATTTCAGCAGCGGAAAACAGTTAGAGTAAAACTTAATTTTCGGCTCACTAGCAAATACTGCTTAAAATGTAAAAAAAATCGCCATTTTTCTTCGTTTTGACAAAAGAGCATAATACAAGAAAAACTGAGTCTGTCTCATCAACTCATAAACAAGGATGGAGCTCCAGATGAAAAGTGTGTAGCTATTTAGCAGTTCTCTTTTTAGCTCTTTAAGTTATCTTTTGTCAAGCTTAAGAACATAGTGATGACGCGGAAGCTATTGGTCATCTTCATTACTCTCAGGTATACAGATATTTCAGTTCTAATGCTTTGTTAGATATTATTTAAGCAGTTCATGCAACAAATAGTTTTATGTCATACTAAAAATAGCAATTGAAAATTGAACCAAAACCGAATTAATAGACTTGAATATTTGAATCTTCCTTCAGAAATGTTTGACTACATTGGACCTGATCTCCCTAGGAGTAGGAAGCTGCGTGGGAACTGGAATGTATCTAGTCTCGGGAATGGTGGCCAGGAATGTTGCTGGGCCAGGGGTCGTTCTTTCCTTCCTAATTGCCGCTGTGGCATCTCTCTTCTCAGGTTTGAAACCAGAATTTTGTTTAACTAATCAAACATCTATTTCTAGAATATATATATAAATATATACGTTATTATGATATTCCTCTAAGATTAACTGAACTTTAAATTAATCAGTGTATCTCTGATAGGTAAACATAAAAAGTATTAAAACTTCAATCTTAATTTGCTTGGATAAAAACAAGTGTAAAGTTGTAATTGGCATTAAATGGTTTTTCTTATTCTATAATTAAAAATTCAGGTACTATATCGTATTTCACTGTCTTGTAAAGAGAAGGATGAGAAGTACAGCTAATTCTAAAGATGATATTTAAAGCTAACGTGCAGGCGAAGAATAAAGCTAAGGTTAAAAGTGGCGGAAAATCTAATGTTAATGTAAAAATTAAAGCTTATTCTTGGGTCAGAAGAGTAAAGTTATTACTGAAGATAAAACATAAAGCATAATTGAAGATACAAATAAGCTTTGTGTTGAAGACGACGAACAAAGCTAGTGGCGATGGTGAAGAACAAAAAATAATAATAATAAAGCTCGCTCTGGGGATGAGAGTAAAATTTGTATTGAAAATCAAAATTAAAGATAATGTTGACGATGAATAATAACGATAATGTTGAAGGTAAAGAGTAAGGCTAAGAACTTAAGAATGAAAGTAATGAAGAATGTATAACTATATGTTAACGACGCTATATTTGCTACATCCATTGTCAACGAGTTCTTTCGCCCAATACCCGGACTCATCAGGGCAGCTGGTATACAAGAGACACACAGCAGTGGTATTTCTACTATCAAACTGCACGAGCAGCAGGTGTAATGGAGTCAACTAGATTATATTTATGAAGTGTAATTTTTAATGACTCATGGTAAAATCAGTATTTAGGTAAGATTAATTACATAATATTGATGATAAAGGATAAAGATGATGTAGAAGATGAAGAGCGAGACTAATGAGATGATGAAGAATGTTTGCCCGATCTCAGTAATTGTTTTTCATTTTTCAAATCATTATTTCCCATTTTCTCCTAAACAGCATGTTTCCCTAAACAGCATGTTGCCCTAAACAGCATGTTTCCCTAAACATCATGTTGCCCTTCTCTTCTTCTTCTATATTTTACTTCAGTTCATACCGCATTTCATCTGAAAGTTTAGTTTTCATTCTCTTTTCCACGTTCTTTCTAACTCGAGTTTTGTTTTATTGACTAAACAATCTATTTATAACTTTGTCTTTTTTTTTTCGTATAAATGGAAAAGTATTTTTTCTCTTGTTGATCTCTCACTTCTTAAATTTGACTGTTGAAGTTTCTCTTTCTGTTTTTGAGAGCATGGTGAGCTAACTTATCCGTTGTTATTTTCTTTCGAAGATGAATGGATAATACATTAAAAATCCACTACGTAGAATATACATATCTTAAACAACATATTGAAAATTTCCATGAATTTCCTGATGTCTGTAAACCATGTTTATTAGGTTCCACGCCTATGTTCCGAAGAATGCTTCCATTACTCGTGGGATTTACAAGCCGTGCACATGAGGCCTTAAACTTAGTAAAACAGTATATAAAAAATGGTTCTCTGAGTCCCAGACAACCGTGTGCTGATATCGATCAAGGTGATGTCCTTGGATCGAGACATGGTCTTTCGCCAAACAAAATCGACACATCAGTTTGAATCAGACAGTTCGTTTTTGTTTTTATTTTTATTTTCCTATTTTCTTTTTATCTCCAAACAAATTATAAGTTTCGACATATACATACTCAAATCTGGAATCAATAGCTTTTTTTCTAATGGCCGACAGTTTATTTATTAGGTGCATATAAAAATATAATCAGAAGGACTGGCTGTATACATTTTACGGCCATTTCCCTTAGCTTAAGAAGGTATGTAACGCAGCGTAATAAGAAACTATTGACTGTTTTAAAGAAAGTATGTTCAAATTTGTTTTTATACCTCTGAGTTATATGTACCTCGTGGGGTGAACATTTAAAGAGTGGTACAAAATACGTGTTGAAACAATGAATTTAAAATAAACTACTCGCTTCTAACTAGTGTAGTAACAAAAGCTTAGTCCTAGCATATAAATTTGGTCTACCTGACAATAAACTTTTCCTATAAATGAGTTTAAATTAATTTAAAATAAGTAAATTACTTCGATATATACTTCGATTTAAAACAAATACTCTGCGTGTTTTAACAGAAAATCTTTATTTTTAAGAAATTCTATAGAAACTTTGAAGTGCTATTAGTGTAATAACAAAGAACTCAAGCCTAACATTTTAACTTAAACTACCTATCATCACCTTGTCGCATAAATAATGTGTTTAAAGAATAACCTTTGTAACTAGCAGTTCATGAACGTTTGATTTTTTATGATTTTTATAGGTGTCTGTTACGCTGAATTTGGTGTTCGAGTCCCTCATACCACCGGGTCTGCCTACATGTACAGCTACGTCACCGTTGGAGAATTTATTGCTTTCGTCATTGGTTGGAATATGATATCAGAATATATGATTGGAACAGCTGCTGGTGCATGCGCAATTAGTGCATGTATAGACGCTATGAGTGGTGGTTGTATTAGCGAAGCTGTACGAAATAATTTAGGCACAATTATAGGTAACAAGAGATACTCATAAAACTGAGTCCATAAAACAAGAAGTTTTAATATGTTATCAGTTTGCTATGTTTTAGCCATAAATGCTTATATATATATATATATATATATGCATGATGATAACTAACAACAATAAGATGTACATGTCTTATATTTTTTCTGGATACTCCAAACAAACGCTTAGAAATATTTAAATAATAATTGTGTCATTATGACTCTGGGCCCTCTAGTTTCAGGCATTGTTACATAATAGAAATCACGCGTAATATATTTAGAAATATGATAGTTCTGACTTTTAAACTAACCCTTCTTTAACTTTATTTCTGCAACATTTAAAATTTATATTTTACCTCCATGATTTAATTTTTGCAACAGTTCAAAGTTGGCCTCTATAAACCTGTACATTACGTTTGGGACATTTTATTTATTTATTTTTGTTTTGCTGACCACCAAAATAAATTTATCACAGCATTAATATCGTACTGTTTGACTGCAATATCTTCGAAGTTGGCCTTCCTAAAATGTTGACTCGAGTTTCCCATGGGAATACAGAGTGATCATTTTAAAACATAGTGTGTGATTAGCTGAAGCTAGAGAATGGTGTTTTCTTTGTACACTTGGCATTTTTTGTTTTTATACCTCGCATAGCCTTATTCTGGTTTCCATAGAGTAAATATCAAGGAAGTCGAGCGTTAGTAAGATAAGTAGAAATTTATTTCAATTGTGTTTTGTTCTTGTGTTTCGATTTTATCTTCAGTCCAGTGACAGTTAGATGATTGTCTAAATTTGTAACTTTGTCCAGGCAGTCGGTCAGAACATAACTAATTAAAGAGGAGCTTCTTTAGATAAAAACTGTTTGTTTTTGTCCAGAATGTTCAGCATATATGCTATATTTTGTACACGTCCTTTACCCTGTCCAGCGATACTGTGAGAGTGTTCCTTTTAAGTATCTTGCTTCCTTACTCAGTACCTTTCTGACTGACTAAAACTTGTGCTCCTGTGGCTACCATAGTTCCAACTGTCGACACTTTTACATACAAGAATGTCATAGAGTAAACTAGAACAACATTTTGATGGTAAGCCAAGTTTTTGATTGTGTAAGTAAGTATTGATTTGTCTTCTTGTCACAGATTTTGCTGGTTTCCTTTATTTATCCACCCAATTTGTCTCTGCAACGTAGATAAAATATGATAGTCCTTGACAGATGCTCCCAACAAAAGATTAGACGTTGTCTGAATACCTGAAGAAGCTGAAAGTGGCAAAGAGAAGTCAGATGCAATGCATTCTCCAACTTTGTGTTAGACTTTCATTGGTTTTATTATCTGCCTGTACAGTAATGGCCTGTAAGCAGGGACCTTTCTAGCTTTCTAACTGCGCCTTTCATGGCTCTAAAAAAAACTGTGTATAATTCGAAACATCGAAGTTGGGTAGAACTCCACAAGATTAGCCCACCTGAGGATGTTTTTCAAAGTGCCAATGTTGTCATTCTCTAGTACATGGGGTGTATTGGATAGGATGGATAGCGGGTTGTGGGAAAGCAGACAGAGATATGACTTTATGTTTAGTTGAAGGTGATTAAAGAAGAGTCGTGGTAGGATTTAGCACACATACACACACACACCGCTTTCAAAGAGAAAAGCTTGGTAAGGGAGCAGAGTTTTGTTTGGGCCAACTCTAAACCTTAGTGAAATAAATCAAGTGGATATGCATTATGGTTATTAACTAGCTTTGGAACATCCAGTGACTTTGGTTACTAGGACCAGAGTACCAAAGCTATTTTCTGTTTATTTTAAGATAGCAACACATTTTGTTCTTATACAAAACCTTGTTTTGCTACCAAAGAATGGAAAACACATGTTAACAGAACCAAACCAATGATGATGGAGCATCAGTACTAAATAAAGGAGGAAGTGAGTTGGCTCATATCACTGAAAAGAAGCAAATCGGCCACCCCACCTTAAAGCCTGCTTTCTAATGTGTTTCAAGCAGGTGGTAGTCTGAATACTGAGTCAGAACACACAGAATTTATTCCTCAGCCTCGGTGGAATTAGTCTGGTGCTATGGAACATCTCAATCAAGACATGCTAAGTGACTGAGACATAATAACTTGACATCTTTAATAAGGAAAAACCAGTAACTACATTCTGAGATAGTGACAGGTAATCATTTGCCGAGAAACAAAAACAGGTATTGCAACAATAAGCTATAAGTCTAACTGATGTAGTTCTGTCTTAAAAGCAGGAAAACCAATAGATTAATTAGCAAACAGTTGATAAATTATAACCTGGACTAGGTGAAATTTCCAGTACATCATGTTATATGGATACCTTCAAAGATATGACCTCTATTTCAGAAGAATCCTCATTTAGGTTCTAAGCCAACAAATGACCTGCAGAATACCTATTTTCACTAGTGGAAGTTTAGGGCACCACAGCCGGATTGTCTATATACAGTGTGTACATAGAATTTGCTACATTCCGAGGTGGATGCCTGAGACCAAACTAAAAAGTAAAGAGTCAAAAATAAGCAAAGGCATATTTCTCCAACCCTGCTCATGACTAATAGCTCCTGAGCTGGTATAACCAGCAACTCGGAAAGGAGGCATAGCTTGTCTACCTTCGTGGATCAATTGATTCGTTTAACCACAACATCCTCAAACCAAGTTAAGTGTATTTTATAATGGGGTTGCTAATTTTTTTACCTCACTATGTATTATATTCTTCCAGATAAGCTTTCATTTATGTCAATAAACATCGGCTTTACTATTGGAAAAGGAGAGAGGCTTGAGAATATTGGAGAGATAAGTATTGCTCTCAACTAGTGTACTTTGTCTACGTGAATGTAAATGGTGACTATGGACCTTTTTTTTAAGCTTGTGTAATTGAAATGAACATAATACTGTCGAATATAAGTTTGATGTTTGGAACAAGTACAGTGTGCTCTGTAATCTTGAAAAATGTTGTTGTCTCTATTGACTAAAGTCTATGTAATCGTTCAAAGAGACAGGAAAAGTGAGTATACCTTTCAGTCATTGAGGCCTATTTTAAATAAAGCACTGATGCTTTATTTAAGGACAGATTTGAAAATCCTATTAGATCTTTATGCTACTGTTAAAGGCATAGGAGCAGATCCATTTCATCACGTAAGATAGTGTAGAACATGTAGTCGTGTAAGTAGGCCAAGTGCTGAAGTGAACTAAACATCAATACTGCACAATAAAGAAAGAACAGTTGACTGTTTTTCACCTGAATGAGCATTTATGTCAGAGTGGACCATGCTTTCCATAAAATGGTTTACTAATTACAAACACTCAGAAACCACAATAACATGATGGATTACAGCTCTGCAAATTCCAGCTTGCTCGAGTAATATGCATTGCTCTCATGACAGCCTGTAAGAGTATATCTATTCAGCCATTGTCCAGATACCTGTCACCTTAGCAAGAAATAAGATGCCATGATGACATGTTTACTAACATGGCTGGACACAGTGGAAGTGCAAATAAAGTCCAAAGTAAATGTCAATGGAACTCTGAGCAGAACTCGCCAGGATACTAGAACTAAAGAGCAAAATGGCGACTGACCACTGAAACTCACATGATTTGGCACTATACAAACAGCTGGAAATATATATTGAATATATTGAATATCTTTTGTAACATAGAAAACATTTTAGAACTACTCTGGAATGCACATGATTAGAAATCCAAAAATGACCTCCTGGGGTACTAATTTGTGGCTTACCAAAGATAGTTCTGAACGCTATTTTCACATACATTTGATTAGACATGGACTGATTAAGAGAAACGTGAAAAAACATGGGCAGTCAGGGGTAATTTTAATTGTACAACGAGAAAAGTACACACGACAACTGGTGAATGATAAAATATATTTATTGTTTAATATAAAACATTTTATATCAGCTAAGCTGAACTAATTGTCCGACTAATTAATTTCTCTCTATAAACTATGTATTTGAAAAGTAGATGTATTAATGTGTTTCAGGTTGTAATATAGCAAATGGTGTTTCTTTGATGTTTAAAGGAAAAACATTGATTATTTTTATTATTTATGCAATATTTCAATAATGCCTCGAAAATAGTAAATGTGACATTTGTTAAGTAAGTGATTTCCTACACACTTTAATTACTCAAGAATCTTGATAACTTTAAGTAGTTTTAATGTGTCACTGTTCTTCCAGATCACACTCCAGACATAGTGGCAGCGTTCTTAACTATTTTGATGACAATGCTCCTAGTGGCAGGTGTTAAAAAATCTCTTTTGTTTAATAATATCTTGAACACCTTGAATCTAGCAGTATGGGTGTTCATTATGGGAGCAGGGCTGTTCTACGTCGACATAAATAACTGGGCCAGTCACGGTGGTTTTCTACCATACGGCTGGTCAGGGGTGAGTATGTTTTTATTGTTACCACTATTTTTAACTCAGTCAGTTACTTTGCCGTTTCAGTACTGTGTACTTGATTAAGATGTTCTCAAAAGAACACGTGTTTAACGGTATAAAGCAAAGTAGGAATAAATTTATAACGTGTTTAAAAATTCGTTATTGATTTATTTCCCAAACACAAGCTCCCCAGTGGCACAGTGATATGTCTGCGGACTTACAACGCTAGAAACCGGGTTTCGATACCTGTGGTGGGTAGAACACAGACAGCTCATTGTATAGTTTTGTATTTAAACAACAACACAATACAAATTCTGGGGGTTTTGGATTATTTTCAATTCAAAAGGAACCAAAATCATCTTAATATAGTAAAAATGTGATTTTCAATTATAAAACGTTTAAAATTAGACTATGAACGTTAATAGTTTACTACTGAGCTAACGGTTTGGCACTCTAAAATGAAAAGTAAATTGTGCACGGTAATGTATCTAAATCGTTGATCAATTATTCATTCCAGGTGTTATCCGGAGCGGCTACTTGTTTCTACGCGTTCATTGGATTCGACATCATTGCAACCACAGGAGAAGAGGCTAAAAACCCCAAACGGTCAATTCCTATGGCTATCATCATCAGTTTAATTATCGTGCTGACAGCTTATATAACATCCAGCATGATAGTAAGTTAACTAACTCTCCATTGTTCTAATTGTAATAAAGTTTAACCATCAGACTAAAGTCTCAGGTGTAAGCTACGATAAGCATTTACTTGTGATTTGTAAAAATTAACAATCATTCTTGTTTAACGTGATAAAAAAACCACTAGACTCAGCAATGAATCTGACAGTAATTTGGAAATTTTAATCTTAAAAGAAAATGATAAATAAACCCACGTAAACCAATGTTTTGTAATGTGTTCAACACATCTTCTAATTTAATGGTCGAATTGTTGAAAAACGTTACCCTTTTTATTGAAAGGATTTCTTGTTAAAATGATATGATTATGACATAACATTCTAATAATATTTAATTATAAAATGTATTTCACAATAAATCACATAATATGATGTCATTCGCTACAGAATCAAAAGTTAATTAAACAGGAAATAAAATAGAATAGACTGATAGCATCAAGAAGTGGAAATTAACTTCCGCGAACCCTCGGCAGAATAAAACCAAAACCTAATTAAGAAAATGTATTACAGATTCATAATAATCCGTTCTAAAATATTAACGACAGTTTTAAACTTAAAATATGTTTAGATAAAGATACGTAGATACCTTTGAAAGCCTGTGTCGTATATAGAGGTTCTGAACAAAAGGAAGCACGTGGTGAAAGCAACTTGATAACGTGTGGTTCCAGTTTTGTTTATTAGAACTGTGTCAATTCTTTATAGTAGGAAAACTGCCAGTTCTTGAAGGATGTAATGAGAAATCATATTCCATTCCTTGAGGTCACAATTTTACATAAGGCACGGGGATCTCGTTCACTCGCCATGATCTTCCAACCACTCTTACATTAACTTCATAACACATGATCTAATAGACATGCTGTAAATAACAAATGACGTTGTTCTTCTCGTAAAGCCAAGAAATTTGTGTCTGGAAGCACCTTACGCTAATATAATAATAAATTAACAAACAACGATTTATAAACACAATAAAACCGCTTCATTATGCTTACAAATAGTTGTTTGTCAATCTACAATTAAAGCCAAGAAAGTTTTACAATTTGGATCCCTAAACCACCGATGAATCGGGTTTACATCTCTTTGAAAATCAGTAAATTATACTTTTTTGTATTGTTTGACAACCAACGTCGAATAATAGAATAAGCATATCTTTAACAAGGTGATACAATATTTTTCCAACCACTGTATGTGGTTTATAACTCTGTGGTTGTAAAGCTGCATGTGTTCGCTAAAGCAGTGTCTGGTTCAATAACGTTGTAATAAGTTAGCTAATGTTAGACACGCTGAGGAAATGGGCAACTTTTCCTGAGGGAACATAATCTACATTGTTTGCTGTTTATTGACCAGGCTCTTCAACAATGATAACGAGAGAACCTTAAACACATTATAGTGTTTATATGCTTATATAATTTAATATTATGTGAGAGGATGCAAAAGCATGGAAACAATCCAGAAAAACTAGTATTGTTGTAGCTGTAGGCTTATCCATAACTGTGTTTTATTTGTTTGTTTTACTTTATTACGAGTTTGATTATATTTAACTTCCTGCGTTTTGCGCTATATTTGAGCAACTGAAATGTTTCTCGTTGTTGTTGTTGTTTACTGTATCTCTGGATGTGAATTATAGAAAGTTTAACGCAAGAAATTATAATAAATTTACGTGATTACCATAGTTTACGTCTCTCCATTTGAGTGAACTTTGTTGTAAGAACAAGGCCACATCCGCAGCCAGTGGGCGCCATAATAGCACTGGGGGACTTAAGAGACATTATATATTTTATAGTGCACTTATGAGGATAAAAGTTATATTTATACATTTATTATGGGCATTGGTTTAGTTTTGTGGAGCTAAAAAGCAATACTTACATTTATAGTAGACTTTGCAGTGGGAATAAGAAGGATAAACTTGCAATTATTATCGATTTTTCAGTAGCTAAATGAGTACAGTCATTATGAGTACAGAAACAACTACAACTTTTTTCTACATTTCTAGATTACCCTCGTTGTTCCTTACGACCAAATCAACCCTGAATCAGCCCTCATCGAAATATTTCAACAGAAGGGAGCCCAAAAGGCTAAGTTCATCGTAGCCATTGGGGCGCTTGCTGGGTTGATAGTGAGCATGTTCGGTTCCATGTTTCCCATGCCTCGGGTAGTATATGCCATGGCTAAAGATGGACTTATATTTAGGTCAGTCTAATTTATTTGTTTCAACTTTGTGTTTTCAAATGTAGTGTTGGCACGTGCTGCTACGTAACTTGTTGTCTCCAGCTTCAGTAGTGAAGAAATACCTGAGATTAATAGTTTTACTTGTTTTTTGTGACTTTGTTTTTGTTTTCATTGAAATTTTAATAATATAAAGGAAGCTGTGGAGAAATATGAGAAAAATTTTCGAACTGACTTAACATTTCACTACATTCATAGTATTACGACAGCGGTAGTCACGTGACGCTAGTAACACGTCATGATATTCTCGAAGGTTCGTGAATGCTCGAGTGTTTACTAGATGTACGGTATTCTTGTGTATAAGACCGCCAAGAAGTGACGGCAACAATGGAATTGAATTTCAGACAGACATAGAGACGGAC